CCTCCGGTTTTCGGTTTCGGTTCGGTTCGGTTAAACGACCGCCAACAACCCTAATATAAAACTAAAACTCATTTCCTGTAGTATAGCACTAATTTTTACATAAATACTCCTGTTTTGAAATTATAAATTTAAATTTAGGAAATTAGTTTTGGTGTAAGTGTTAAACCATCAAACAAACGTTTCAAAAAAATAAGTGGAGAAGAATATGAAGAAATGATAGAATTCTTTAAAAACCCGGAAGAATTTATTATTCCTCAAACGGAAAATAGTGGAAAAAACATAAAAGAAAATAAATGGAAGAGAAAATTGAGTGGAAGAATTATGAGATTTATATTTAGGGAAATGTTAAAAATGGAAAAGGAACTGAAAAAGGAAAAGGGAAAAGAAGAAAATAATGAAGAAAATTCTTTAGAAGATGTTTATTTGAATGATTTGTTAAATGAAGAGTTTAAATGGCTAAATTTGGGAATTAAAAATGAGATTTGGGAATGGATTTTGAAATTAACAAAAAAGGGAAAGATAAAAGTTGAGAAATATAGAAAATTCGATGTAAATGTTTTAAAAGCTATTAGAAGTGATTTATTGGCAATTGATGAAGAAATTAAAAATTGTTATGGATTAAAGGGTCCTCTACTAAAAGTATTACGATATGAGGGTATAGATGACCCTATACATCAGGAATTTCGCGGAAGGTTTGTTCTTTAATTTATTATTTTTTTAATAATTTGATAAGGAGTTGCCCAACTAGGTGTTGACTCTCAATATACATATATACTACTATTTTATTTAAGTATTTTTTTAATTTTTAAATTTTAAGAATTGGCGCGCAAATAATCGGATCAGTTTACAATGCTAAACAATTAACTATGGATATTTTGAACGGGTTGTTATGGAGTTTAGGCGGTGCTGGTACAATTGCACTAATTTTAGACCTCGGTCTTTGGCCTTTATGTATTTTTCTAATTTCATTATCTGGATGTCCTCTCTGTGCTCATATTATTGGGATATTTCTTTATTCGCTGACTCCTCTGGCGGCTGAAACATTTGATTCTCTTGTGATTAAACGCCTTTTAATCTCACTTGATGGAGGCAAATTTTTCCCTTCTACGCTGGACAAATTTCTTGATGATTTGAAGGGTGCTTTCAAAGCGGGTACGATTGCTTCTGGCGGTTCTTTAATGAACAATGCATTAGCAATGGAAAAGATTGGGAAAGCATTGGGGATGTCAGCGATAGGACCAAATTTGCCTACGAATATAGTTTGTTTTTAAAACATTTTTTTAAAACAAATCTTTCTTTAATGATAATCAAAGTCACACATATCCATAGAAAATTTTTAGAAATATCAGTTCTTTTAAAGTTATTGTCAAGATATAACCGATAAATTTGTCTAATTAGTCGTTATAAAATATTCAATATATACCAAAATTTAATTGGTATATGCAGAATAATTTCTAAAATTTATATAGGTAGCTACAGCTACATCTGGCGCAATGGTACCTTTAGAATTCCATGAATGGCGTGACCTTCAACGTGCCGCACTTTACAAATTATATGACCAAAAATTTTTGCCAAAACCAAATGGTGATACACTCGTTGTTGAATGGAGGGAAAAATCAAAAAAGAAAAGGGAAAAATTTTGGCATAAAATTACTTTTCGCTCCTTTGCTCCAAAAAAGCCAGAAACATCTCCGGTTATTACAAATGAAGAAAGAAACTTAGCTTTCCGTGAACATATTAAAGAAAAAATTGAAGCATCAATGGATATTCAGAAAAAATCTTCAATGGCAATTAATTCAATGGGAATTGGGTCTTTATTAAGTCAAATTGTTTTAATTACTTTCTTTTTTCCATCACTATATGGAATGCCAATAGTAATTCTGAAGATTGCTTTAATTATAATTAACACGCCGACAGAAATCTGTTCATTTGTTGCTACCATTGTTTCGGCGAATAGTCTTGGAAATGAATATATTGAAAAGTGGTGGAGTACGGACACAATGAAAAATAAGCAAATGGTAAGATATTTTTCTGAAAGATTATATTGGAGTTGTTAACTTTAAAAAACTGATAATGTTATCCTTATCTGATCACATTATCTTAAATTTAAATAAAGTTAGGACATAAACTAGGTGTGCAGTTACTTTTGGGCACCCTGTATGTGTATTTAAAACAGGGTTAAATTTAACACTGTTAAATTTAACATATTTAACCTTTCTACTAATAACAAATACAAGAAAGTACTACTTAATATGCTCGTTTTTTTGCCACGACTTCATAACATTTATATTTTGCTCATAGTTGTAATATGTATTATCAATATTTTTCGGTCTCAGTTTTTAAAATTCTTTGTTTTTGACACTAAGTACAACTGCGAGGAACTAAAAACGTAGAACTTTTTAGGTGTCACAATTAGGTGTCACAATTTTTAGGTGTCAATTAGAAATAATAAGATTTACATATTTGCTAAAATAAGCATTTAACTATGTTTTAATATTTTTTATTAAAAGGTTCGCCTTATAATTGACCGAACAATAAAACAAATGGACCATCCAAATAAAGAATTTCAAGAAATTAAAGAAAAAGAAGTTTATGAAATATATCATCCAAAAGGACAAATTTTGTATAGATATGGCAAAGGGATAACTAAATTTATGATTGTTTTCTTTAAATTTATGACAAAACCGTCATTATTTAAACAAATTAATTTAAGTAAATTAGCCCTTCCTTTCTTTAAAGAAGATGATTATCGTGAAGATTTAACATTTAAAATGTCTTATTTGAAGGGACCTTTGGAAAAAATGTTAAAAATGCCAGGAATTGATGAAGAAAAATTCAATGGATTTATAAATGAAATTGGTTAGTTTTTACGGGATTATTCAAATTATGAGAAGACTAAAAGATATACCGTATTTACTCTAATTAAATTCCCCATCTAGTAGAATGCCTCTTTAGAGGATGATTGAAAAATAAAATGCCCGGGCATTCTATTAGATGAAATACGGTATATTTATTTTAAAAATTATTTTTGGATTTTAATAAAATTTTTATATGTATATTAAGTAATTTAAAATATTTTAAGCACCTTTTCATGAAAAACATAAAATGACATTGACAGAAAGTCATCATTTTATTATTATACTAAACGATTGGGAAAATGTTAAGAATATGCCGAAGAATGCCGAAGAACAAACGGATGAAAAATATTTTAAATATTTCGAAAGAAATGTGAAAAATAATAAAAAAATCAACTTTGGCGTTTTTGAAATTTTAAATAAAGTTTGTTGTTAATTTGAAAGAATTATTTTAAAAATTATTTTTAGATTGAAAATACCAAAGAAGATATAAATTTAAATTTACCTAAACTCGAAAAAGCTTTAACCAATTTCGAAACAAATATAAAATACAGAAGTAAATTAATTGAATGTAGTTTATATGCAAAAATTTTACAATTCACTGCTTTGGAGATTGATAATGAAGATGAATTAGATGAAAGTGAAGTGAGAAAGACTGATAAAAGAATTGAAACTGATAATTATTTAATAGAAAAAGATTCAAAAAGAAAGAAAGGTTTTCTTAGAAAAGCAACAGATGCAATGTTGGGAGAGAAAAAACAAGATTTAGATAAAATAGATATTAAATATAAATTACGAAAGGAATTTTTGTTAAAATTAGAAGAAAATTTAGAAAAATCACAAGAAGGAGAAGGTTTGTTTAAAAGAGTTTTTGTGTTTATTTTCTGATAAAAATTTTTTGGCAGTCTTATATAGGCTAAATTTCATAAATATTTTTTTTTCTAAATTCATAAATATTTAAATTAATTTTAAAAATCAGAAAAAAATTGTTTTTATCAATGTTTTTTAAAAATATTTTTAATTTTCAGTGAATTTGAATATTGAAAAACGTGCCCCAGATTTTTTGTTTAAAGTAATTAATGATTTCAAAACTGAATGTAAATTTGGAGAATCAACAAAAAATACTCTTCGATATATCTCCCGTCATCTAAATTTTGTTAAAAATGAAACTAAAAAAGAGATTATAAAATCCTTAAATGAAAAAATAACAAAACAAAAAGAGAAAGTAGAAAAACATTTTGAGGATAAATTGAAAAAAGAAATAAATAAACCTTTAACAGAGGATGATGCATTTGAAAGAAAAAAATGGGAAAGAGTTTCTGATTTATTTAATAAAAGATTAAATTTAAAAAAATATTTGGGGAGAATGGCTAAAAGAACAAGGAAATTTATAAAAAATTTAAAAAATATCCAAAATGAATTGGATAATAAAAATATACTTTTAAAAGATTTGAAGAAATTAAAAAAGTTTAAAAAATTGGATAAAATGAAGAAAATGTTGGAGGAATTTAAAAAAGAAGTATGTTTATAATTTTAAATATTATTTTAATTATAATTTAGGTGAAAGAAGAAGACAAAGCCTATCGTGAACGTTTTATCTCAAAATTCGAATTTCTTGAGAAAAATTGGAAAGAATTGGTGAAATCAAATAAACAATTAAAAAATTTGGAGGAAGATGGTTATTTGATTATTGGTTATTGTTTGGCAAAAAGATTTCAAGTTATTTTTAACGAGGAGGGACAGGCAAAGACAAAATTTTATAAAGAAACAGATTCATATTTATTTAAATATGCGAGTGAAATTAATCAAATTTTGGGAAATAAAAGAGTGAATTTGGAGTAAGTTTTAATTATAATACATGTTTTAATCGACTCTTTGGGGGGGTTTTTTAAAAAATAAAATAATTCTAATTGTTGGATAATTTTAAAATAATAATTCTAAAATAACATTATTGTTAGGCACAATCGGTTATTAACCGTTACTTTTTTCGTTTCCAGTTAAAAGCCAAAAACACCGGTTAAACGTTCCGGTTCGTTACCTGTCTCTGTTTACCCCTATAGACACTACTAGATATTGAAAATTCATATATTCTTAAAAAGTATTAATTTTGTAAATAATTTAAAATTATTTACATACTATCTACATATGTATATTCATTTCATTTTCAGATTTTATAAAAAAATAGAAAATAATTTAAAAGAAAAAATCCTAAACACACTTAGAATTCAAGAAGAAGAGTTGGAGGAAATTGTATCTAATGTTTGTGGCATTGATAAAGATCATGTACAATTTGAGCACCCAGAAGAGTGGAATTTACAAATTTGTAATTATTTTAATAAAATTATAAATTTAATAATATAGTAGGAAATTATATAGAAAAGTTAAAATACACGCAATTTAGTGAAAATTTGTAGGTAAGGAGAATTGGACAAAATCTAACCTGAAAAATAATAAGGGGGTGGGGCTTTCATAATAAAATTTTAGAATAGTTGCATAAAAACGGGGATATTATATTTCTGGAACATAATAACTAGTTAAATTTTGATAGTTAGGAATGTTTAAAAACACCTAAAAAATACTTTAATTCATTTTCCCCTCAAAAAGCCAAAACAATTCTTGATGATGATTTCCACCTCGCGGATATGAAATTCATTGGCGTTGAAGAAAATGATTTTAAATATTTGAATTTGGCAAATGACGAATGGTTTGATTTCAAAAAAGCAGCATGTAAGGAATTAAATAAATAAATATATATTTGATTTTCTTTAATTTTAAGTGGATTTATTTAATTTAAATAAATTAACATTTACCGAAGTACATACTATTATTTCTTCTTTACATCAAATATTAAAGAAGAAAGAAACAACAATAAAAATAAAAGAATTAAAAGAACAATTACAAAATGTGAAAACAATTTATTGGAAAGCAAAATCGGAAATTGAAAAGGTTGGTAAAGTTTAGAAAGTATTTTTTTAAGAAATGGAGGGGATTTATTAAGTATATTAGACCCTTCTTATTTACATAGTTAATATATTTTTTAAATAATTTACATTGTTAATAATATTTTTTTGTAATTAATGAAACACATAATCTGTCTAGTTATCATATTTAATTTTCCTTTTCTAAAAATAATATACCTATATTTGTAGTAATTTACTTAAAAATCTTTTAAAATTTAATAATTTTTTATTTATTACAGTTAAAAATAATTAAAAATGCCCAACAAAAATTAATTGTCAAAAAAGAATTGTCTCGAATTGAATCATCAATTAAATTAAAAACTAAATTGAATGAATGTTTGTTGTCTGTTTATGTTTTGAAATTTGTTGTTTTACAAGAAAATCGAGAAAATGATTTATTAGAGGAGGAAGGGGACGAAAAAGAGGTAGAAAATGATAAAAATAAAGGAGAATCTGGAAAAGTTTTGAATGAAAAATTCTTTTTAAATTTTAAAAATAAATGTGAAAATACAGAAAAAATTGAAAAAATGATGAAGTCAAAAAAATTAAATTTGGAAAATTTAATCGAAAAAATAAATGAATATGAAAACAAATTAAAAGAAAAAATTAAAAATTTGGAAAAGAAAAATGATTTAATTGTTATTTTAAATAAAAATAATTCGGAATTTGAAAACAAAATGGAAGAAAAAATTAAAGAATATGTTGATAGATTAATGAGTAAATTGCTATTTTTAATTGATAATTATGAGAAAATTCAAAGAAAGAAAGAAAAAGAAATTGGTGAAAGTAGTCAGCGAGGAATTGAAGTAAATTTAAATTTTTTTAAATTTTTTTTTGTTAGGAAAGAAAACAAAAATTTTAGAAAAAAAATATTAACGGATTTTAAAATTAAATATAAAAAAATATATTTTTTAGATAATTAATTTTTTAATAATATTTTCAAATAAAGGAAAGTGTCATCATCAACGAGACAATAAATACTTCAAGTTTATCAGCAATTCTTTATTGTTTAACAAATAAATTTTTGGAAATTTTCAATGAAGATGGAGTTGTTAATATGGATATTTTATTACAAAATATTTCAAATACAAATTTGATGGAATATGGACTGGAAATGAGTGAAAAATTGGGAAAGAAGAGAGTTGATAAAATGTAAATAAATATTTTTAATTAAATTATAAACATTAATTGACACTGTATCAACATAATTTTAAAGAAATATCTACATATAACCTGATCGGTTTTATCAAGATTTTTTTCCAAAAAGGGGTGTCAAGAAATTACATATTTTTGAATCAAAATTTGTGCCTTTATGAAAAATTTTTATTTTTTTAAATAAAAAAATACGAGTATTATTAGAAACATTTAAGAGCAACTTTCAGGGAATTTTCAATATTTTGTTTTAATATCTTAATACTTCCACAATAATAAAAATTTTTCTCTAAATTAAATTTAGGTATTATAAACATGTTCTCGACATTTATTCGGGCATTTATTTAAAATTCAAAACTAAAGAGGATTTTGAAAATGAGTTAAAAAATAATTCAAATAATTATTGTTATATTGACAAGAATATTTTGGATTTTGAGAGAACTGAGGAGTGGGCAGTTAATTATTGTAAGTAATTTATTTAATTTTTAAAATAAAAATATTTTTAATTTAAAAAAAGATGATGAAATTGGAATGCAAAAAGACGGTTTTCGGTTGGCATATTTAGAAGGGATTGACATTAATGAAAATAAAATGATAACTACCAAACAAAAAGTAGAAATTTTTGAGGAAATTTGTAAGTAAAATATTTAAAGAAATTAATTTGAGAAAAAATATTTTCGATTATATTAATACATATTTTTGATATAAAATTTAATTTTCTATATAATTAAGTAAACAATTCTAAACTTCACAAAGTCACATTCACTGAAGCACATAAATTAATTGAATCAAAAATCAAAAGTAAAATTTTGACAGAAACAATTCAATCAGAATTAGAACATCCAACGGAAATTGAAAGTTTAGGGAATACTGAAAATACAAATCAACAAGAAAAACAACTAAAGAATTATTCTGAAATAATTAAATCTGAATTAGATAAAGTAAAGTTTTTATTTAAATATTAGGATTAAATAATTGTTTTTTGAAACTGGGATAACGTGGAAATGTGACTATAATATATGAGACTATAAAAATTAGGCGACTATAACTATAATGAAAAGTTTCCAAAATGGACCGACTCAGACCGAAGGGTCCAAGTCAGGCATAGGATATTTGGCCCGAAAGTAACTTATCTGACCCGATTCAATGAAAATCGGGCCCGAAAATGATTCATACGGCCCAGTTATAAATTTTCAACCACAAAAAGAGCGCAAGTTTGAGTCAAAAATCTTAACACACGTGGTTGGAATCTTTTAAACTTTTAAGAGAATTTATTCCCTATTCAATTCTCTATTTTATCAAATTATTCTACATATGTATATCCGTAGAATATTTTGGATTGAAGTTATGTAAATAAATACTTCACTCCGAAGTCATACTTCACCTATGTAGAACCCAATAAAATAAACCCCTAAATTATTCTCATTGATTATAAAATCAAAACCATTTATAATTTTATTAAAAAATTTAAATAAAAATAATTTTTAGATCAAAGAAATATTTGAAAAACAAAATGAAGAAAAGAAAATGGAAAATATTAAAAGACTTACAAAAGATTTGAGACATATCAATTTTGAATACTTTCAACAGTTTGAATGGAATATTAAATTAAAAACCGAATGTCAAAAATGTTTAGATTTTATTGTTTTGTCTAAAACATCATTAAACCCAAATTTTGTTTTAAATGAAAAGTCTTTTAAAGAGAAATGTAAATTTATAATTGAAAATCTACAGAGTAATTTAGTAAACGGTTTAAAATTAAATAAATATTCGGACGAAGCCAAACAAATTGAGGAGATATTTAAATTATTAAAAAAAGTTAAAGAGCTTTTAAATAAAAAAATTACAAAAACAAATTTAAATAAATTGTTTGAAAATTTAAATGAAGCAATTAATTTAATTGATAATACAAATCCAATGATTGCTTATTTTAAAGAATTAAAGACAATTGAGGAACTTGCAAAGTTTAGGGCTGCACGTATTTTACAGTTTTGGAAAGAGTCTAGAAAAGTAATTTTTAATGAAAAAGAAAATATACGACAAGTCGAGATTCTTGATGAAATGGAGAAATTAATTTATGAAGAGAATGTTAAAGAATTTGATGAACGATTGGAAGATAAATATGAACTTTTGTTGAAGAATTGGGAAAAATTATTTTTCGAAGAAGAAAAGGAAAAAAATATTTTTTACAAACAAATATTGCCTGAAAGTGATGAAATTAAAAAGAAATTTGAAAATTCTGGTGATCTATTTGTTGGATATTGTTTAACTAAAAGAATTGAAAATTCATTCAATAAAGATGGAACTGTGAAGATTTCTGAATTTTTGAGTAATGGTGCTGGACAGGAATATGGATTGGAATTGAGTGAAGTTTTGGGGCAAAAACGTATTGATATTGGGTAAATTAAATATTAAATACATATTCGAGATTTGCCCTTCTCCAAAGAAAAAAATAAAAAACGGAAGCATAATAATAAATTGAAAGAAGTTTTGGGGCGGTTTAGAGCGGCACCAATAGTGATTTGGAAATAAGTCTTATTAGATTTTAGTCTAGTCACACATTCCCCAATCCATTATTTTATTAGTAAATTTATTATTTTTTTAGACAATACGAGAATTTACAAGAACAAATTAAAGAAGAATTAAAAAATGTGTGCAAGAAAAATTTTGAAGAAAATTTGAGAAAGAAATGTGAATTATTCATAGAATATCAGTTACGAAATTGGCATTCTTTTTGTTCTATTGATACAGAACATTTGCGTTTTGAACGTTTTGAGGAAATGGATGTTGTTCGAAATGAAGAAAATTTTGATGATGTGAAGGGAGATGGACCCTCTTTTAAGTCTATAGAAAATGAAGATTCTATTGAAGAACTTGACGATTGAGGTAGAAGAATTTAAAAAGTTGAGAGGAAAGGTTTAAAATTTATTTTAAATGTTTTTTTTTTTATTTTTTGGGTTTAAAAGTATTTTTTGGGTTTTAAAAGAATTTGACAAATGTAGTATGTAATTAATTTTTTTTGAAAATTACAAAATTTTTTGAACTAATTTTTTTTAGAAATTACAGGGTTTTAAAGTTACCTAAAAATTCACCCTTATTCTGATTTCGACCTCTGATAGAGGGCTAAATTCTATTTTAGAGAAAAACAATTTTATTTTAGTATTTTCAGTAAAATTAATTACATTTATTTTATTTAAAAAGAATTTTTGTTTCTTTTTAATAGAAACATTTTTTAAATTTTTATTTAAAAGCCTGATATATCTATAAGTAAATGTGATATATTATCACAATTTTCTTTTTAAATTATTTATTTATATTTCACAGTACTCGACCAAAAATTTTTTATATTTTAACAAAATTAATTTTCACAAAATTTGTATTTTTATTTAAAAAATACCCAAAAAAAATATCGAGTACTGTTCAATTACCTCCCTACAATTGATTACAAAGTATATCTCCCAATTATTCATTAATGCTAAAAGTATATTAAGAGTTTTCTTTAAATTTTTGATAACTAATTTCTGATTACTTTTAGCATTAATTTTAAACATTATTTACTAAAAATGTAGTTTAGATTGTCACATTATTATAAAATGTTTGACTTTTTGATTAATGTTTGAGTTTTTATTTTTTGAATCAGATACGTCATTTAATTTAGAGAATTATTCTTAAAAATTCTCGATTCGTGAAATTAATTTTTGTTGTGTCCGCACTTGCAGAAAGAATATAAATGAAAATAAAATAACCAAATAAATAACCAATCGGTTAGGCCCTTTCCGTGATGGTTCAATTCCATCTCCCATCCAATAAATTTTTCCACAGCATGAACATTATATACAATAATTTCTAAGAACCAAAAATTGGTGGGAGAAAATCTCCACCATTAAAATTTAAGTTTTAAACAATTTTATCAATATAAATTATTTATATAAAACAATATTTTTTATATAATTTAAAAAACCCTAACAATTTTTATTTTTAAAAACAAATTAAATATATAAATTCCTTTTAAAGTTCTACTGTTGGAGGATTTCTTAATCTTCTAAAAAAATAAAAAATATTTTTAAAAATTAAGAAAAACATTTTCTTACATAAAAGTTCCACCAAAAGAATTTTGTAATTTCCGTCTAAAAAGACGTACTTGTGTATCAACATCTGGCACTCTCAAAGAATAAATTAACGGATTTAAAAAAGATTTTAACAATATAAAAGCCAATTGAAGACAAGAAAGTAAAAATATTGCCCGAAAACTTTTTCTGTCCAAAAGAACTCCACAATCCTCACAAGTTAACGCAAATAATATTGCTGCTGGTGCCCAACCAAGAAAAAAACTTGCACAAATTAAAATGGCCGTTACTGTAGTTCGCATTTCTCGACGATTTTTTTCCAAAGAACTTTTTCTATAAAAATTTTAAATTATTAAAAATTAAATAAAATATTTATATTTAATTACCTCTGTCCATAAATTGATTCATTCTTGTTGCTAAATCGTTTACGGTTAGCACGTAATTTGACTAACTAAAGAATTTAAAAAAATTATTTTTAAATTTAATTTTAAATTACCAAGCAAATATAAAAAGAAGTTATCAACAAAAATATAGCAACAAGTAAAAATGAAACAAAAAGCCGAAATAAACGAGAATGATAAAAATCAACATGTTGACAATTCCAATAGCCTTGTCCTTTAATTCCCAGAGATAAAAACAATAAAACAGAAAAAGGAGCAATCCAAGCTATTAAACAAGCAAAAAGTGCCCTTCTATCTTGTCCTGCTGATCGAGGTGTTTGAGGGCGGGCAATACCAACAAAGTGGTGAAGAGCAATTAAAAGTAGGTGTAATGTTGCTGAAATCATTCCTCCGGTACGTAAAAGCTGAAGAAAAATGTTTGTTAAAAAAGATGGTTATAAAAAAATTTTGAAAGGACTAAATAAGAATTGTTCAGTCATTGCCCGCATTTCCTCTAATAATTATTTGAATCAACCTGACATTGGGAATTAGTCAAAAGTTAACAAGGATTAAATATCAATATTATACTAACTCTTAGATTCTGTTATTAGTAAATTGCTGTATTACCTCTAAGGTAAGAGAAATACAAGGATTTACATCTGCTTCAAGCACAATAGGCATATAAGAATTATAAAGTAAAGAAAGTGAAACAACAATACTTGTCCTAAAAATTAAATAAAATTCTTTAAAAAACTTTAAAGAGAGAGACATACCAAATATCAGAAAAAGTTAATGAAAGTATTAAAACAACAGTAGCAGTTCTAATAACTTTTGCAGATCTTAAAGCCGCAATAACTACTAAATTGGCAAGAATAGCAAGTATAGATGCTGTTAAAAACATTGGAATAACGATTTTGTACATCTGAAATTAATTAAATTTTTATTTATTTTTTAATAAATTAATTTAAAATTAGCAAATTTAACAATAAGACGAATCGAACTCAAAAGTGAAAATTTTATAATTATGATTTTCATTTCTTTTGATAAAAAAGAGCCCGAATCCATCCCAAAAATAAAAAAAAAAGATTGGGAAAATTGATTCAGAAAATTCCCCAAAGATTTTCATTACGCCTTCAATTAACCCCCCCCCCCCCCCCATCACCTTTATAATAAATTTAAAAAAAAACTTTTAATTATTATTTTAAAAATATTTATTTATTCATATACTTACTTCCATTCTAAAAATTCTAGCTTTAATTTCTTCCATAAATTCTTCTCTAAATTTTTGTTCATCCCAACCATTCCACTCAGCTCCATCTAACCATTCTTGCATTTCTGCACTTAAAATTTGTGAAGAATTTTGTAAATTATTAAGCTTAGTAGAATTTGAAGAAATATCCAAATGTGGATTTAAACTATTAATAGTGCTGTTAATATCCATTAAAAGACTAAAAAATTGATTTATAAAAACAATAATTTTTTAAATAATTAATGTCTTAAGGGAATTAAAAACAAAAAAGTCTAAATGTTTGGACAGACAAAAAATGTTATAAAAAGAATGCGGAAGAAAAATTAGAAAATAATTATAAAGTGATGTTTTTATGATTATAAATAATATTAAAATTAAAAACAAACTAGTAAATAAATAATCTTATAAAGTATAGGGCAAGGAGTGATTTTTGATGGCTATAGCTAATAGAGGAGAACAGTGCTGTATTTTGCGCATTTGTTGGCTCCGACTGCAGCTCCGGAGCTAGCTTCCGGAGCCATACACAACACTGGAGATGAACTTTAAGTTTTTAGTTGGAAAATAAATTAAAATATTTTACTATTTTATAAATTTATTTAAAAATTAAGTAAAACAAAAAGATTAGACTCGTGAAAAAGAGAGGGAAAATTAAATTGTATTAATTGAAAAAAATATATTATTTAATTTTAAAAAATTTTAAAAATTGAAAAAATATTTAATATTAACATAAATTTATTTATTTAAATTAAATATTTTTAGATTCTAAGGACAAATTCTTACGCCCTCTTAGAAAATTAAATGTACTTTGTTTTACTTTTAGATTTTTTAAATGAAATAATTTATATTCATTTTTATCACCTGTTTAGGCAATTTTTAATAAAAAAATTAATTAACTCAAACATTTCTTTTACTTTTTCTTTAATTCCCCAAATACTTTTTTAATTATTAAATATGTAAATATTTAAATATAATTATTCTAAGAAGAAAATTAAAACGGAAATAAAGAAATAAATTTTTTATATTTTTAAAGTATTGCGTGTATAAAATCGAAAAGTATAAATAAAATAATTTGAAAAAAAGAGGAGAAGAAAATACATTTTTTATATAAAATTAAGTGCTAAACATTTACGGCAAGTCTGGAGACAAATCCTTTTTTATTTCTAATTTTCAATTATTTATATTAAAAAGAACAAAGAAGAAATAAATTTTTGCAAAAAATATGCATGTATCATTTTAATTCTTAAATTCTTTTTTTATTTTAAAAGTAAATTTTGAAACAATAATGAAAGAGAATATTTGTAATTTATTTAAACACGCATTTAAAATTTTAAAAAATTATCAAGACAAAATATATCCCTTTAAATTTTATTTTACAAAAAAAAATAAAGAAAAAAATTAATTAAAATTTAAAAAAAAATATAAAAAAGAATAAATATAACATAAAAAATGATGTATTTTATTTGTATTTATTTTTTTATGTTGCGTGTTTTAATTGCAAATAAAAGTTTAGAAAAAAAATGTAAGAGAAAGTATGTAGACGAGAAATAATTAATTTTCTCTGGGTTTATGAGAGTAGATAATTTTCTTTGAATTTTTATTTTAAATATTCCCCAAATAGTTTCTTTTACAATTTAAAAAATTAAAGTAGATAAACAAACAAAAACAATTTTAAAAAATAAATACAATTCTTAATTATGTAGGTATAGAAAATCAGAAAAATTTCTATATCCTCGAATATCTGAGGGTGGGGTGGAGGGGTGGGGGATTTTCTATAGCTAATTTCTGGTCAATATGGAAATTAAAGAATTATTTCCTTCAAAAACTTCTTCCTAATTAATTCTAATTTATTTAAAAAAATATCTTTTATGTAAAATACTTGAAAATAGTAAAATATATTTAGTAATTTACATCATTTATTCTCTCAATATTATACCAATAAGCCTTTTATTTATTTGTAATAAATTCAATTTTCAGTTAAGAAAAAAAATTAAATTAAGTAAAGAAATTGAATAAATAATGTTTTTCTCCACCCACCCCCCACCCCCCCCCCTCCCTCCTTCCAACAGTAAAATAAAAGGTTAAATATATTTTTTAAATATGTAAATATTTAAATGGTTTTATACATACTATAACCTTTTTAAATTATTCAAGGGTTTTAACAATTGATTCCCTTTGTTTTCTGTTTGCTTCCATTAACTCAAATTACTGCAATCCGCCTACACACGTTTTTGAAAGTTAATTTAATAAAGGAAAAAATTTTTTTTAATTTTATGTAGGTTTTGGAATACACAAACGAATTAAATTTTAAAAAATAAATTTAATTATTAAATGGAGTCAATAATTGAAATAAATTTAGGTAAAAAATAAAAGTTTAAATAATTGAAATTTGTTGGGAATAATTAGAGCTAATAAATAATTGAGAGAATTTTAGTATATATAATAGAAAAAAATTATTTTAATAATATAATTTAAGCAGACTAGTCGACAAAAAAAATAAAATTTGGAAGGATTGGGTAACAAAATAATTCAAAATAAATTTAATAATAATTTTTTAAATAAATTTGAAAATTATTTATAAATTTTTAGTTTAAAGGAAAAAAATAATTAATTAAATATAGGTATTTTTATCAGTTTAAATTAAAGTTTACTTATATGTTTATAAAATTTTAAAGTAATTAATAAAGTACAAAATATTATTTCTTTATATTTTTAAAAAAATGAGAGAAAGAATAATTTTTATTTTATTTTTTAATAGTAAATCTGTAGGATGTCCTCCCACACTTTTTTTATATTTAAAAATTAATGTCTGGACTTTGTCTGGACTTTCTTTTGTTAACAATATAAATATTTAATTTAAAATGATGTCTGGATTAAATAAAAAATATATTTATAATTAAATTGTTTTCTTTAAGTTTAGGGTTTAACATTTACGGTTAGGTGGCTATTTTCACGGGGACGGTGGGTGCTGTGATTTTTGCCACGGAGACGGTGGGGGAATCAAAACTGGTAATTAATTTTTTAAGAAGAATAAGTTAATTGGAAGGTATTAAATGGAAAAATAAATTATAAAAAAATTTCAAAAGAAAAATTTATTTGAATTGAATCTGGAATAAAATTTAATAAAAAGTTAATTTAAAAAATAAGTAATTGAAATTAAAAATATATTTATTTATTTTGTGAGAATAAAAAAAGAATTCTAATTAAAAAATCATATAATTAGGTAAAATACAAATTAAAATAAAATTGTTATTAAATCTGTTAAAATATTTTCTATAAATTATTTTAATAATTATTAAATATAAATTATATATTTAATTAGTCTTGATGTTTGTAAAAAATATTTTGGCTGGTAATTATAAATATTTTTAAAAATAAAAAAATTAAAATTATTTTTTTACTTTTTTATTTTTGATAAAAAATATATTTTTTATTTAAAAATAAAATTAAAATTTCTCGGGATGAAACAAAATTCAAAAAAAAATATTTTTTTAAATTAATTAGTTTTTTAAACATTTTTTACTTCCCGAAAGGTTTCTTATCTTTTATTTTTTTGTTTTTTAAAAGTGCGGCACACAAAGTCAAATGATGAGAAAAAATGCAAATAAAAAATAAGATTATATTTTCTTTTATTTTACTTAAATTAATTCACTAAAAGAGTGTTTTAATAGAAATAAAACAAAAGAAAATTTTTAGAAAAAAAAATAATAAAAACAAAAATTGAAGGTTTGTAGTGAGAAAAAGCTTTATTTTGTTAAAGTCTAAAAGTTTTATTGTTATTGAGAAAAGAAGAAAAAATAAATTTATAGAGAAAAAATATATTATTAAATAAATATGCTGACAATTCTCTAAATAAATAAATATATACTACAGTCAAATTTAAATTTGGAAAAATTATAGACTAAAATAAATAGTAAAATAGCGGAGGTATCGCTTAGGTACTCCTTAAAATATTCACTAGAATGAGTATATAAATTAGCGAGAATATACTATAACAAAATTCAAATGCCAAAATTAGTTCTACTACTTGTATATTTATGTAAAGAAGTAATTTTTAATTTAAAATAAAAAATACTCCCACGGGTTTAAAATTGTTTCTTTAAACTTTGGTTATTTTAAATGCAAATTTGTTAACTAAAAGTTTCAAAAATTTGAAAAAAAAGAATTTCCGGTTATTTAAATAAATATAATTTTAAAACAAAAATATATTTTTGGAATAAAGAGAGAGGGAAAGAAAGTATAGGCAATTTAGTATTTTAAAAGATAACTTTTAAAGGTTACTTAGAAAAAAACTAATTTTAGAAAATATTAGAAAAAATATTTTCTGAAAAAAAAAATTAAAAAAAATTATTAATCAACTTATTTAAGTAATTATTCTTAAATTATTTTTATTTAAGCAGAGTCCTCGCCCCGATAACTTTTAGTGAGAACAACAAGTAAAAGGATTCCCGACATGTGGTTAAACTTTTAGGTATTTTAATTTTTTTAAATTGTTATTTGGTCATTAATGACTGATTTATGGTTTTTATTATTAAATAAACATTTCATAAATCACATATTTTAGAGGAATTTATTTAATAACTATAAGCAGATTAAAAGATTAAAATTACTAAATTTTTGGAAAATTAAAAAATGAACATTTAAACTATTTTGTTATTTATTAATGATCTTTAGAAATTATTTTAAATATTTATAAAACAAGAATAAGCAGAGATCTCATTTATTTTAGAATGAGATTTAAATGATGTAGAAACAAGTGGGCGAGTAAAATTAGTAAATAATATTTTTGAAAAAATAAACTAAATAAAATAAAAATATAGAGGTACTTTTAATTAATTACAAATATATTCTACATTTTCGAAAAAATAACAAAATTTGGAAAAATTTCACAGAATATTCAATAATCAGGTAATTTTTTTATTCCTTTTGAATTTTTTTTTGAATTTTTCAAATTAAAATCAAAAAACAAAAATATTTTATGAATAATTCCGGTATGTCCATAATTATGACCTAATATATTACTATAAAAATTTATTTATGGTATTATTTAGCGACATATTGAAGAACATAACTATAATTTTTAAATTTAAAATGCTTGTCAGTCTCGTCTCGAAATACAACTAAAATTAAAACATAATTTACCTATGTAAATCTAAATTGTAATTAATTCTCTATTTATTAAAAAATATATAAAG